CCTGCTTTTGCATTATCTTTGTCTCTTGGTCTCCTTATTGGGTGGTGGTCTCGGACCCTAACAGTTCCTCTTGATAACATGTCTGATGGGATGAATGTGTTTTGCATGTGCCAAGACATGAATTTGGGGGAGGGGTGCAAACCAAAAGATGACATGCCAAGGATTGAATTGTGCCCCTCCCCCCACCAAAATATGTGCCGACTAGGTTTGGCCAAGATCCTCAGTGGTTTGACAGTTATCTAATTTGACAATGACGTAATGATGTAATCACCCCACCCCACCCCCCCGTGATGTGATTTGAGTGGATGTGAGCAGCCAATCCGTTGCAAAGGAATTGGGATGGGATACAACATCTTGACTCAGCTCACAGCCCTGACCCACAAAATAAGGGGAGTTTCTTTGGAGTGTGACCTGCATTGCCTTGTATCTTCTGAGAGATCAAAGGAGAGAGGAGCAGCAGAGAAGACCTGACCAACTAACACCAAGAAAGAAGATCCAGGAGCAGAGTGTGTCCTTTGGACTGGGGTCCCTATGGACTAGACCCAAAGGAAGACTGATGCCAAGATACAAGGAGCCATTCAAGGGACATTGAGCTCACGGATGTTGGAAGGCAACAAGGATCTTCCTCCAGAGCCAGCAGAGGGAGAAAGCCTCCCTAGAGCGGGCATCTCAAATTAGGATGCCTACTACACTGCTAGAGAATACATTTCTATTTATTAAAAATTGTGGCATTTCTGTTATAACAACGCTGGATAGCTAAGATAGTGTCCAAAGAAGGGGAGTGAGTGAAGTTCTGCCATCCTCACTTTTAAGGACTATTCTGTCTGTACTTCTTCCAAGACAGTTGCATTCATTCTTCAAGCAGTCTATGGTATATTAAATATTCTTTACCAACTTAGTATATAGGTTACATAGTCATAGTTCAAATGAATCAATGATCTTTTGGCCTTCCTTAACCATTGTCCAGCTTTTACGTACACATGAGACTATTTTAAAATACCATGGCTTGGGTCAGATGAACCTAAGTCCACAAAGTGACATCTTTGCTTTTTAAAAAACACACTTTAAAGAGGTCCTTTGCAGTAGAAATGTTTAAGGTGATACATCCGTTTATTTTTTGATTTACTGAATGCTTCTTCCACATGTGTTGATTGTGCATCCAAGTAAAATGAAATCCTTGACAACTTTACTCTTTTCTCCATTTATCTTAATCTTGCTTATTAGTCCAGTGGTGAGGATTTGCTTCCTTAATGTGGTGATGTAATCCATACTCAAGGCTGTAGTTTTTTTTATCTTAATCAGTATGTGCTTCTTATTGGAATAACTACTACAGTTAATTTCAGTATCTGTACTAATCAAAAAGTACAGTAGTTTAGGTAATCTAAAATTATTTTTGAATTGAGAGTCTTTTTTTGTTCTTTACACAAAGGAAACATATATCCAAATAGTCAAAAGACATCAATGTAATGTTGAAATTTCTCCATAAAAACTTGAATAGGTAGAAGAAAACTCCTCCACTCCAATGTGCTAGACATCCTTATTCACATACAAAGCATGTTATGTTAAATGTGTTAAGTGTTGTCAAGTCAGTTCTGACTCATAATCACCCTCTATAGGGTTTCCAAGACGCAGCTGGTGGGTTTGAACCACCAACTTTGTGCTTAGCAGTATAATCCTTATCCTATAGTACCAAACCAGGCATCTATGTTTGCAAATTAATACATTCAAATACCAGGGGGCTTCAAAATGATTGTGGAAAAGTGGAATTAAAAGATAATAGACATTTCCCTCGATACCATACAAAGCATGCTAAAACTTAACTAGAGATGATTCACCGCCTTTTTTTTTTTTTTTTTACATACTAGATGAACATTTACCCAAAGCAAAAGTAGGAGTCCTGGTGTGGCACTATAACTGGGCCCCAAGGTCAATTTGAATTGCAAAGTTGGCAGTTCAAACTCCGGAGTCGCTCATCAGAAGCCCTATGCGTGGTCACTATGAGCTGGAACCTACTCCACAGTGCTTAGCAAACAGCAACAACAGAGCAAATGCCATGACAAATTATATGAAAGTTAATTGAGATATGGGGATGGAAGTCATTAAATTTTGCTAATAAAGCTCTTTATTACTTTCTCAGCCTTATTAAACCAGTAGGATAGTTGAAAGAAAAATATATGACGTAGAAGGAACGTTATTCCTAAGTAGTCACTACGATGTACAGAAAATAGAAAAGCACTGAGTTACAAAGGAAATCGTAATTAAAAAAAAAATTTTTAACCTGTGCTTTATTTCCTGTCACTGTTGTTGTTGTTAGATGTCATTGAGTCAGTGCTGACTCAGAGCGACCTTATTTATGCACAACAGAATGAACAAACTGCTCCATCTTACTCTGACCTCACAATCGTTGCTACACTTGAACCCATTGCTGCTGCCTCTCTGCTGATCCATTTCATTGGAATCTCCTTCTTTTTTGTTGACCCTCCACTTGGTCAAGCTTAATGGCCTGCTCCAGGGACTGATCCCTCCTGATAATACGTCTGAAGTATGAGAGGAAGACTGGCCATCTTGGCTTCTAAGAAGCATTCTGGCTGTACCATAGAAGAATTGATGCATTTGAGTTACGGTGTTAGAGAACAATAGTAAAGGTACCATGGACTGCCAGAAGAACAAACAAATCTGTGTTGGAAGAGGTACAGTCAGAATGCTCCTTAGAAGCCAGGATGGCCAGATTTTGTCTCTCGTGCTTCCTGTCACTGGTATTTAGATATTAATGAAATTTGTAATATACTCTGAAGTTTTTAAGGATCTGTAAATTAAGAAACATATGGTTAGAAGATTTTATTTTTACATTATATAAAATTTTCCAAGTAGCACAGACTGTGACAATTGTGATCACTGAAATAGATTTTCACTAATAATAAATTTTTTGAAAACAGGTTTTTCTTTTTGTTTAACATTGCTGCTGTTATTAGAATTCACTCCAACTCATATCAACGCTGTATAGGGTTTCCAAGGCTGTAAATCGTTAGAGAAGCAGAAAGTCTCATCTTTTCCTGCAGAACGGCTAGTGGGTTTGAACTCGGAGCCTTACAATGAGTGAGTCAGTGCTTCTCCTACAGCATCACATTAATATTAGAATTGGTTTTTACCTATTGAAGGCCTTTGGTCCCAAAGTAGATGTTCCACTGAATACTTCAGCAACTACCAGGAGTTTACTTATTGATTCCTTCATACTGTCAAAAGCCTGAAGAGGTGAACTGGCCCTCAGGAATGTCTCAAAAAATGTTTGCAGCTGTAAACAAAGAAAGGATTCATTCATTGAAACAATCTCAATTTCTCCATTATTCCAAAGGTGAACAATTTAGAGGATTTCTTTTGTTTATCTCTCTTGACACACTCAAAGAATTCTTACAATAAAACAGGAATGTTTGATAATTTAAGATCTCTGTGTGTGTGTGTGTGTATATATATATATAGATAGATAGATAGATAGATAGATAGATAGATAGATAGATAGATATATAGTATGAGACGATATCTATCTATCCATCCATCCATCTATCTGTCTAGAGAAAGAGAGTCAGTCCCTTGTTGGTGTAATTGTTAATATTATCGCTTCTGACCAAAAGATTGAAAGTTGGAATCTACCCAGAGTCACCTTAGAAGCAAGACTTTGTGATGTAGATCTGAAAAATCAGCCACTGAAATTCCTGTGGAGCACAGGTCTACTCTGGCACATATGGGATTAACATTAGTCAGAACTGACTCACCAGGAATGCAGATACATATCTATAGTAATGTTTTTATTTTTGCTGAGTCAATTCCAAGTCATAGCAACCCTACTGGGCAGAACAGAACTGCCCCATGGTGCTCTCAACGCTGGGATCTTTCTGGGAGTAGATGGCCATGTCTTTTCTCCTGAAGAATGACTAGTGGGTAAAAACAGCCCACCCTTCAGTGCTTAATCACTGCACCTCCAAGACTACTTCTATAGATATTTATATATACCTATGCATGTCTGTCTGTATCTATATATCTATCTACCTACGGGGAGCATGGTGGCTCTCTAGGATAAACACTGGACTGTGAAGCACAGAGTTGGTGGTTCCAGGCCACCAGCTGCTCTGTGAAAGAAAGATGAGGTTTTCTGTTCCTTCAGGGATTTACAGCCTCAGGCAGCATAACAGGATCACTATGAATCAAAACCGACTCCACAGCACTTAAAACAACAGTCTCCATATGAGGTCAGTCAAAAAAACATCATCACTAGGGTTCCAGTTCATACACACGAAGATTTATTCCAAACAAAACATGTTCTCTGTGATCAGTGGATGGCTGCAGGTAATTTCTATCCGTGGCACACTTGTTTTAGTCTCCTTTGTTGTTGTTATGCTTCGGTGAATCAGCTCCAATTCATAGTGACCCTGAATAGGGTTTCCAAGGAGCAGCTGCTGGGTTAGAACCACCGACTAATGCTTATCCTATGGTGCCACACTAGAACTCCTATCTCCTTGTTGTTGTTAAGTGCCATCAAATCGGTCAGAAAGTTATGGCATCTTTTTTGGGGATTCCAAAGGGCTAATCTTGACAGATTTTCTCTAAGAATACAGAAATATCATGGGAGCTTATTATTAAGAATATTTAAGAAAACTGGACACTGAATACATGAGAAATAGACCAGGAAAGTAACGATGAGGAGTTGTTCTCCATCACAATACACCTGCTCACTCTTCAAGGGTGGTTAGGGCTGTCTTATAAGAATTTTGTTGTGAAATCTTATCTCATCCCCCTACAAGCCTTATCTTAAGTTTCTTTCCTTCATTTTGCTTTGGGAGATCGGACCAATTAGAGGGGAATCTAAGAGAAATTCAGCATCCTACTAACATTTTAATTTAAAGTGTCATGGGGCCAGAGAGGAAGGGACAGTATTATAATAAGGTAAATGAAGCTCAGGTTTATGTCCTTTTAGAAATGCTACAGTTTGCACCACAAATAATTCTTTTCATTTACCAAAAATTAAAACAACCACTGTAAGAAAAATACCTCTTGAGGATGCTGAGCATCAAAGTTCAAGTCAAAAAATGTTAGAAGTATAAAAACAAATCTCATATGGATAAACATACTCTTTAGAAGATGGAGAACAAAAAATATTTTTTGAAGAAACATGAAGCAGGTTTTCTCTTGGTGTTCCTGAAAGAGCAAACTAAATCTATCTGAATTGCTTCATACTACAAAGTGAAAAACTATTTTTTTGTTGCTGTGATAATTAAAGACAGAGATTGGCACAAGTTGCTTGAAGGAAATGGTAAATGTATCTTTAGAATACACATCTAAAATCCCCTCAAGAGAAACAAATACTGACTTCATAAAGTCTTACCAGCTGAGAAACAGAAACTTAATGAGATGTGTATTTTGAGACCCTAAGCATACCTCATTAGCATTTGGTAATTGGGAAGATTTTTCCATTTCAAAAAAGACAATGAGTGTAATAATTGTATAATCAAAAGAAAACAAATTAATGCTAAAACTAAAAATCTTAACACTCTTAAACAGAGATAGAGTAACATCATGTTTTTCCAAATAAAATAATGCATTGTATTTCACTCTGTTTGCCTCACTGCGTAGAAAAGATGATCAATGATATTATTCTATCGTCCCATTCTAATGTGTTTTCAGTGTCACAGAGGTTAAGGTTAATAATATCAGGAAGAAGGAAATGAATGTCTGGTTGGCATATAAAATATATAAGATTGATTCTCGGATTATGTTCTCCCTGAGGAAGAACAATGAGCAAATAACTATTTCAGGGTTATATTTATGCTCTTACTATGGAAACAGGTATCTTCATTTCTGAATATTACTGTAAGCGTTGAATATGGAGTGCCACTACACAGATCTGCCCCATTTAATTCCATTTTGAATGAGAAGTCTGCCACGTGGAATGCACTGTGTTCTCCTCTTGGGGACTCGCAGTGGACAGCAGTGTGGTGACACTAGGAACAAGAGTTCCAGCACTGTTAATAACAATACCCACTTTAGACAGAAGATGTACACGTGGTACATGTCAGTACTCAGTAGATGTTGTTATTGTTGTTTGTTGTTGTTGTTGTTGTCAGGTGCCATCGAGTCAGAACCGACTCATAGTGACCCCATGCACAGCAGAATGAAACAGTGTCCGATCCTGGGCCAACCTCACTACCGTTGCCATACTTGACGCCTGGCTGATCCATCTTGTTGGGGGTCTTCCTCTTTTTCTCTGACCCTCCACCTTACCCAGCATGACATCCTTCTCCAGCGACTGTTTCCTCCGGACAATGTGTCCAAAGTAGGAGAGACGAAGCTTAGCCATCCTGGCCTCCAAGGAGCACTCTGGTGCACTTCTTCCAAAACAGATCTATTGGTTCTTTTGGCAGTCCACGGCACTTTCAGTATTCTCCTCCAACACTATAATAACTCAAAGGCATCAATTCTTCTACGATCTTCCTTATTCACTGTCCAGCTTTCACATGCATATGAGGTTATTGAAAATACCATGGCTTGGGTCAGGCGCACCTTAGTCCTCAAGCTGACATCTCTGCTCTTCAGTACTTTAAAAAGTTCCTGTGCAGCAGATTTTCCCAATGCAATACGTTGTCTGATCTCTTGACCGCTGCTTCTGCGAGTGTTGACAGTTGATCCAAGAAGAATGAAGTCCTTGACAACTTCAATCTTTTCTCCATTGATAGGAATGCTGTTTATTGGTCCAGTGGTGACGATTTTTGTTTTCTTGACATTGAGATGTAATCCATATCGAAGGCTGTGCTCTGTGATCTTCATAAGTATATGTTTCAAGTCCTCTTCATTTTCAGAAAGTTGTTAGGTGCCCGCATTCGTTACTGCTATTAGATGCTACTGCTATTAAAACCCCTTGGAACAGAGTGGAACTGCCCGATTGGGTTTTCTAGGCTGCCATCTTCATAGGAACAGGTGGCCAGCCAAGGGGCAGAGTCAAATAACCACCCTTTCAGTTAGCAGCTGAGCGTTTAATCATTGTACCACCAGGGCCCCTTCAGTACTCTAGCTCTCTTTATTTTTTGTTAAATAAATCATGACGAGTTCATAGCAATCAAATGAGATTTCAATCAAAGTAGTTGGTGACCTCAGATTCTTGTAATCAAATGTTTGATATAGGCAATCAAAACTGCTTCTAGGAATTCAAACATATTTGTGATACTAATTAAAGAAGAAGATTTAAAAATATATTGGTGATGGTGGTGTGCTGTGGAGTTGATTCCAACTCATAGTGACCCTGCATAGGGTTTCCAAGGCTGTAAATCTTTACAGAAGCAGAAAGCCTCATCTTTCTCCTGCAGAACAGCTGGTAGTTTCGAACTGCTGAGCCTGATATTAGCAGCGTGATTCATAACCACTACGCTACCAGAGCTCCTTACGAGGCTTGAAATACAAAAATGTGGTAAAGAGAGAACAGAAGTATGATGGTTAAACAGACCTATGCTGTGTCTTCTAAAGAAGCGAAGGAACTGAAGGAGCCAAACAACCAGCTTTTCTCCGATTTCCCTAGGAACTGAGAAAAGGACTAACATCAATCAACAATCACGACAGCAAAGGCATCAAAACAAAACTGTCTTTAGAAATAGAAGTGTGAAGAAAGGAAAGAAAAATGACAAGACTTAAAGGAGAGCCACTAATTTTGTTCCAATTTTATCTCTATGCATCTGTCTCTATCACATTGCGTGTATTTCTATACACCTAATCTCTTCAATTAAAACAACAGTAGATGAGAGGGACCTCTTCTATTTACCTAATGTTGTTGTTGTTAGGTGCCATCAAGTTGGTACCGACTCATAGCGACCTTATGCACAGCAGAATGAAACACTGCCTGATCCTGAGCCAACCTCACTACTGTTGCCACGCTTGAGTCCATCGATGCTGCCACTTGGTCAATCCATCTCCTTGGGGGTCTGCCTCTTTTTCTCTGACCCTCCACCTTACCAAACATGATATCCTTCTCCAGCAACTAGTCCCTCCTGACGATGTGTCCGAATTATGAGAGACGAAGTTTGGCCATCTTGGCCTCCAAGGAGCACTCTGGCTGCACTTCTTAGGTGTCAACTGCATATGGAGTCCTGGCGTGACACTGTAGGACGGACACTGGACTGCTGACCACAAGGCTGGTGGTTCACATCTACCAGCCACTCCTCAGAAACCTTATACAGGGTCACTGTGACTAAGAACTGACTAGATGGTCCTTAACAACAACAACAACAAAATAGGCTGAAACAGAAGTAACAT